ATCCCTGAGCAATCCTGAAATCACCAAATCCCTGAGCAATCCTGAAATCACCAAACCCACGAGCAATGCCCAAAGATGGGGCACCACAACCATCCCTGACCCCACAAGACCCTGGGACTGCATTGATTATTTGATAGAAAAATTGATTATTTGTGATAGAAAAACATCCCGGAGTTTTCCTTCCTGCAGCCAGAGTGAAGAAGCTGAGAAAAGCAGATTTTCTTGTGTCAAGGCTGAATTTTCGTTTCTCAGAGAAGATCCCTGAGCACAACAGTCTTCTCCTCCTGTGAGCAGGGACTGGTGGCCATCACTGACCTTTGATGGCCAAGCAGGAGAATCTGGGATGCTCTGTCTGCCCCTCCCWGCCAGCACCATAAATCTCCCACAAGAAAATTACATTTTCTAAGAAATAAAGCTGAAATATTTCAATACCCAGGTAATACCTCACTTTCTTGATCTCCAAATCTACCCCTGTCTACTTAATCCATTGAGTACTTCCTGCCACGATATTAAAGGAGTTTCCTTAGTTTGAGACAGAACAATGCTGCCAATAAACCGTATTTCASAGGGCATTATCCTCTGAGATCACATCTAAGAGCCTCATGTTTTAAAATAATAAACTTTGCACWGAGGCAAACTGCATCTCTTCCTTCTCCAATTGATGYAGAAAATTAAAGAGTGTGGCAGTGTTTTATGAGGTCTGGTTTAGTTCTAAATTTCTGTTTTAGTCACTTCATGTAACCGATGTTATTTATGCTGTTGGCCTAAATTAATCCTATTCCAAGTCAACCTCATGATAGCTTTGTTCCCAAATTTATTCYATAGGATTTTTAAAAGRAATTATTTTAATTGGAGGTGATCAACCAAAAAAAAGTGTGAAAATTCAGGGTGTGAGTTARGAATTGCAGAGTGATACTCACGGTCTGAGGGGATGATGGAGGAGCAGTTTTCACCACTCCCTGTCTTGCACACRTCTGAGTAGAGGAACTCGCTAGTCATGGTCTCACCCGGCTCTGTGCGATCTGAAACCACAAAATGCTCCATCAAAGGATGCTTTAGCACCTTGCAAGGTGACTTGTGAGCTGTTAAGGTTCCCCAGCATGTTCAGTGCGCAATCACGAGGCATTTAGAGCAGGATCTCACCCTGCACTTGAGAAGGGCACAGTGCTTTCTGATTTACACATTCYATGGTTTAAATTCAACCACAAAAGCAGTTTTATTTCATAGAAAATCCCAGATTCATTGAGGTTGGAGAARACCTTCCAGATTCTTCATACATYGAGTGCCTGAYKCCCACYTTGTCCCCAGCCCAGAGCTGAGTGCCACATCCTCTGACACCTCCAGGGGTGGGCACTCCAAACCTCCCTGGGCAGTTCCAAGGCCTGRCATCCCTTTCCATGKAMAAATTCCCCCTTCTGTCCACCCTGAGCCTGCCCTGGCCCAGCTGGATCCATCTCCCCATGCCCTGTTGGTGTCCCAGCAAACAGCAGCCCATCACTCACCACTGCAGGAGTGTCACCCACCTGGCAGCAGCGTCTCGTTGGGCAGCTTGTCCACCTCCAGGATGAAATCATCCTTGAAGAAGAGGTAGCCCACGATGGAGAACAGGTAGACGAGGATGAGGGCGAGCACGGCGGTGAGGATGATGGAGCGCCCGTTGCGTGTGACGCTTTTGATGACATTCAGCAGCGTCTCCTCACGGTACACCAGGTCAAAGAGCTGGGGACAGCAAGGACACTGCTGGTGGCACCAGAGGCAGCTGTGCCCTGCTGTCACACAGCTCCTGCTCCGTGCTGGACACTCACCACGCTGCTGTCTGCTTTTTACAGCATTACCTGCCCCTCACAGCCTCCAAACAGCTCATTTCAAACAGCAATTAGCTGTTTTCTTTCAATCTTTATTGATTGAGCATATAAAGAAGCAATATTTTTTTTCCCAAAKTCTGTGTTTAGATTGCTCTGCTGATGTTTCCCTTCATTTTTCAGTGCTCTGGGACAGCTCCCAGGCGGGTTGTGGCTRTGCTGGGGGATGACAGGACAGCAATCTGCTAAATTGGACCTCCGTGAAYACAGAAAATAACGAGCTCAGGTACCAGAGGATGTGGCAAACATCAAACAAAGGGACAAAAATAGCCCGTTCTGGATGGGATTTCACATTGCTTCAACAGTGACACATTTTCTCCACCAGCACCAGATCCCCTCCTGCAGTGTTATTCTTAGCAGCTGAACAGGGTGAATCCCAGCACAGACAGAAGGAATGTGTGTGCCAGGTTCTGTGTCCATCCTGTGAGGGCTGCAGCTTGGACACAGCCATGGACACAGTCCAAGGTTTTCCAGCTGCTCAGAAAGCACCGACTCTGTGTTGGAGTGACTGATAAAAWCACAGCAAAGCATCTTAAATCCCATCCCAGCCATGGCAGGGACACCTTCCACCATCCCAGGCTACTCCCAGCCCCAATGTCCAGCCTGGCCTTGGGCACTGCCAGGGATCCAGGGGCAGCCACAGCTGCTCTGGGCACCCCAGAGCACCTCCCCACCCTCACAGCAGAGCATTTTTTCCTCCTATCTAATCTAAACCTCTCCTGTTTTGGTTTAAAGCCATCCCCCTTGTCCTCTCACTGTGTGTGTGTGTAAGGTCACCCATCAGAAGGAGGGATGTGGCAGGAGTCCTGCTGGCTCCCACAGCAACTTCTCCCAAGGAAAACCTCCAGAACGTGGCTCTTCCCTGTGCCTGTCCAGCAGCTTCCCAGCAGAAAAACAGGAATTTCTCTGGACACGCCTGAGATGGGACTCCACAAACAGAGCAGAAAATGCTGTGAGAGCCAAGAAAACACCCACCAAGAGACTGTAGAAGAACTCGTGCACAAAGAGCCCCAGGGCACAGATCAGCAGGTACAGCAGGTGATAGAGGAACTCCACGTCCATGATCATGGCYTTGTATCCTCGCGTGAAGGTTCCGCAGTTTCCCACGAAGCTCATCAGGAAAATGATTTTATTACAAACCTAAGGGAAGATGAACAGTAAATCAGTTACAACAGGTTAGCTTTTTGGGGAAATCAGGCCATTTCTCCAAGCTGGAGATAACCTGGCATCACCCTGGGTGATCCCTTCCAATGCCATGAGGAAATTCCTCCTGCTGTCCCCCCTGTCCCTCCCCAGCCCAGCCTGACGCCATTCCCTCTCCTTCTGTCCCTGTTCCCTGGAGCAGATCCCAAATCCCCCCAGTGCCCCCTCCTGTCAGGGAGTTGTGCAGAGCCACAAGGTCCCCCCCTGATCCCCTTTTCCCCAAACTGAGCCCCTTTCCCAGCTCTCTCAGCTGCTCCCATCAGACTCACAATGCATCATTTCATGACTCTTACCCAACCTCATAAATATTGAAGCAGTTTGGGTGAATAATAAGGTGTTTTAAGCCACAGAGACCCYCTTTTTGTGTCTGTGGGGGCTGCTCCAAGACTGAGCAAACCCTCAGAGCTCCGTGTGCAGCCTGGGGAACCAGAATGGAATGAACACAGAGCACCTGCACTGGGGAGAGCTCGAGGGGGGAACTGCTCCTGTCCCAGCCCCACCACCACACCCCAGGCTGGTTCTGCTCCATGGCCTCAATTACAGGAGAGGAACCCTCACAGGAGGGCTGAGAGAGGGTCCTTACATTGAATGCTCCCAGCAGGAAGAGGGTGGGCTGCAGCCCCACGGAGAAGATGAGGCGCAGGATGGTGGAGGCGATGAGCGCGCGGATGCCGTGCGGTTTGGGCAGCGCGATGACGATGGCCAGAGAGATCAGCATGGCTGTCCATAGCAGACCTGACAGATGGGGCTCCAGAGTGCCTGGGTATAGGGAGAGAGAGTCACTGTGGTACCCTGCACAGCCTGGGCTGTGTGCTCTGCCCCACTGCACCACCCTGCACAGCCCCACTGCCCCAAACCATGGCCCTGGCTCTGCCTTTGGGGCATGGGGAGAGCAGAGCCACTGCAGTGCCCTGCACAGCCTGGGCTGTGTGCTCTGCCTTTGGGGCACAGGGAGAGCAGAGTCTCTGCACCACCCTGCACAGCCACACTGCCCAAACCATGGCCCTTGGTCCTGCCCTTGGGGCAGAGGGAAAGCAGAGCCTCTGTACCACCCTGCACAGCCACAGTGCCCCAAACCATGGCCCTGGCTCTGCCTTTGGGACATGGGGAAAGCAGAGCCACTGTGGTGCCCTGCACAGCCCCACTGCACAAACCAGGGCTGGCCATGTGCTCTGCCCCACTGCAGTGCCCGGCACAGCCACAGTGCCCAAACCATGGCCCTTTGGGGCACAGGGAGAGCAGAGTCACTGCAGCACCCTGCACAGCCCCACTTCCCAAACCATGGCCCTGGTCCTGCCTTTGGGGCACAGGGAGAGCAGAGCATTGCAGCACTCCGCACAGCCAAGACTGTGTGCTCTGCCTTTGGGGCACGGGGAAAGCAGAGTCTTTGCACCACCCTGCACAGCCACAGTGCCCCAAACCATGGCCCTTGGTCCTGCCTTGGGGGCAGAGAGAAAGCACAGTCACTGCAACACCCTGCACAGTCACAGTGCCCCAAACCATGGCCCTTTGGGGCACGGGGAGAGCAGAGTCACTGCAGCACCTGCACAGCCTGGCCTGTGTGCTCTGCCCCATTGCAGCACCCTGCACAGCCACACTGACCAAATCATAGCCCTTGGTTCTGCCTTTGGGGACCATCACTCACCCCACGTCCCACCAGCCCCACTGCACAGCAGTGACATCTGAGCCCAACACCTTCAGCAGGTTTTAATTACAAACTTGTTACTAAATCATTATGCAATTGCTGAGTACTCCAGCACCTTCACTTTGGTCTCCGTGCTCTCAGCCCTGCCTGTGAGTGTCCTGTGCAGGGGCAGTGCCCRGCAGGTGAGGGTGGCACAGCTCCTGATGTGCCCCTGGTCACACCCTCGGACCCGTCTGTGCCATCCCCTSCTATTTCTGGCTCTGTTTAGCCTGTCCCATGGGACTGGCTGCTTACATAACACCGAGCCCGTGGAGCTAAAAATACACTTCCCTGAAAGAGCCATAAAAAAGGTTCAGCCCAAAATACCATTTACCCCGGCTTTATGCAGAATGTGAGACACCTCTTTCTTAAAGCTGACATCAAAATTTTTGTCTTCAAGCAAGTGGTCCCTCAGCAGACAAAAAGGCAGGATCCCCAAATTTTGGAGCATTCTGCAGCCTTTCTGCAAGCACATTCTCACAGAACTTGTGTCTTACTGGCAACATCCTCATTTGGGGCTTTCTCCTCCTGCTCCCAAATTCAGGCAGCTTAGGAAATATTACTCTCATCTGACTACCACGAGCAGCCATTTAATCTTGTTCCAAATCACTGCAGATTAATAAAGACAGCAGAGGATGGGTGGAAATTAAAAGTTAATAAGCGTGAAGTTGAGCAGCTGTTTTGGCAGCCCGAGGGGAGTGGGGGCTCCTGGAGCCACCAGAGCTGTCCCAGCACGGGGTGCAGAGCTGGGAGCATCCCAGTGGGAACCAGCACAGCACCCACAGGGGACAGGGCAAACGTGCAGCAGCTTTAGGAGTGATTTATCCAAATGGGATGTACTGGGAATACATTTGCTTGCAGAGCTGCACCAGAAGAAACACCAGGAGTTACCAAAACCCCCAGGTGATCCCTGAACACCCACCTGAGCCCAAACCAGGGTGCCCAGCAGCACGAGGAGGGCGATGCCAGCACCCCAAAAGACCCAGCTGTGTCACCTGCCTGTGTCACCTGTCACAGCAGGGCCTGGGGCACAGGCTCCTCTCCCTCCCAGGGACACAGAGAACCTGGCAGCCCTGTTTTTGGAGCCAGGGTGGTCACTCAGCAGCTCCCTGCACCCAGCCTGACCCCAAAGCCTTRCTGGGAGCACAGGGAGTCCCCACAGAGCTGCAGCCAGCAGGAAGTTCTCCCTGGCTCTGGAATTCTCACCATTCCACTCCCCAATTCCAGGCATCCAGTTTTGTTTCTGCTCCTCAAGTCAGAAGTTTTACAGCTTCTGCTACTGTCAGATGCTCATCAGCTGCTCAGTTCACCGTGTCTGAGCAATTCAAGACACTGACAACTTCCCCCAAACAGTCTGTTTGGAAGAGTCTTTTTTTTTTTAAGCTAAATATAAGATACACAYGTATTTATTTATTTTACTTTTGAGATTCTAACTAGCAGAGGAAGAAATTGTATCGAAATGTTACCTGATAAATAAAGAATTTCAAATATGTGGGGTAGGGCATCCTCAAAATGCCAAACAATCCCCCCCATCCCAGTCTTGCWGTTTGTAATCTCAGGGAACTCATTTAACCAGCAGCCTTCCTGGCAGCCAGAAAAACAGAGCTTTTAACTCGGGATCTTTGCAGYTAGGGACACAAATTCAGCTGCTCTTTGGGCTTTTTGGAACCCTCCAGCCAGGATTTGGGTGACACAGGGGCACAGGAGCTGCAGCCACAGCTGATGGCAGAGTGGAACTGCTCTCTGCCCCCTCTCAGGAATGCTGGAATCCATTCTGAATTGTCCTTCTGGGCTTTTTTCAGGATACAATCCCTTCCACACGAGGAAAAAGCTCCTACCTGGACATTCCCATCACACCAAGTGATGCACATG